TTTCAGGTTAGAAAAAAAAATTATTTCAAAAGCACTTAAAACAATCATTTGCTTAGTGTCACAGATGTGTGTTTTCAAGACCTTTAAAATGGCTGACTTTTTTTTCTTAAGCTTATTTAATTTTTTTTTCTTTGTTTTCCATTATACAGTTTCATAGGTTTAGGGTTTGCCCCCATGGCTGCTCTTAAACTTCCTATTCTCAGAACTCATTTTACACTCATAAAAATTACTGAAGCAAATTAAGCTGCTATCTGCCATGCTGTCACCCCAATTCAGAGTGCTGGTTCCAGTCCTGGCTGCTCTACTTCCAATCTAGCTCCCTACTAATGTGTCTGGAAAACAGCAGCAGATGGTCTAATACTTCAGCTCTTGCCACCCATTTGCGCAACCAACCCAGACAATTTTGGTCTCCTGGCTTTAACCTTGAAGTTGCTGCTCTACTCTTTGACCACTGTTTCGTCAACACTAGTCTGTCTGGTAGATGTGATGAGTACCCATCATCAGTGGATTTCAGGAACAGAAAATGACTCTGGATAATGCGGCTGGGCCTCATCTAGTGAACGGGTGAGCTCCAGAGCATTAGCACACGTACTCAAGAAAGCATTCTGCCTCCAGATTGTACCAGAAACACGGCCGAGGGTTCCTGAGAAACACTACGGGCCTTCTGCAGGTTTCAAACTCACAACTTAGTATTGTTGAGTTTTCAACTCACTGGTCGTCAACATGTATTTCAAACTTGAAGTATCAGAAAGTGTAAACCAATAATAATCTACATATATCTACATATATCCCATTCTGGTCGTCATCTGTGCAGAATGCTGGTTCACAGAAACGGCTCATAAAGATTTCTGTGCAACTGCAAGCGTCTGTCCAAACGTATTACAGCACATGTGTAATCTGCATGTCAATTATACACTAATAAAACAGTAAAACATATTTCACTGAGAATCAAATAGCTTTCAACTTTGTTGATTTTCTCTAGAAATTCCTATTAATTAAAAATCAGAAATGAGAAATTTTTAAAAAGTTTACTATTTTAATTAAGATGTACATAAGAGACCTTCAAACAACTTTTTAAATGCCTACTATGAAAAACTTTGCACCAATTTCAAAATTTTTTGCTATGAAATAAATTTTTCTTGTAATTTCATCTCCATGTGCTTTTTCAAATATGTTTCCATATTCTGTAATATAATCATTTTTTTTAAAGACTCATTTATTTTGGGCCCAGCACAGTGGCCTAGTAGTTAAAGTCCTCTCCTTGAATGTGCCAGGATCCCATGTGGGGGCCAGTTCTAATCCCGGCAGCTCCACTTCCCATCCTGCTCCCTGCTTGTAGCCTGGAAAAGCAGTCTAGGACGGTCCAAAGCCTTGGAATCCTGCACCCATGTGGGAGACCTGGAACAAGTTCCTGGCTTCAGATCAGCACAGTACCAGCCTTCACACTCACTTAGGGAGTGAATATCTGACTTTGTAATAAAAATAAATAAATCCTTAAAATTTAAAAAAAAAGATTTATTTATTTTTATTGGAAAGACAGATATATAAAGAGAAGGAGAGACAGTGAAAAAGACCTCCCGTCCACTGGTTCACACCCCAAAAGACTGCAGCAGCTGGAGCTGAGCAAATCTGAAGCAAGGAGCTTCTTCCAGGTCTCCCATTCAGGTGCAGTATATCAAGGCTTTGGCCCATCCTGGACCGTTCTGCCAAACCACAAGCAGGAAGCTAGAAGGGAAGAGAAGCAGCCAGAACATGAATTGGCGCCCATATAGGACCCCAAGGCATGCAATACAAGGACCTTAGCCTCTAACCTACCACACTGGGCCATTTTTCCATTTTTAAAACAATTATATTTTCCAAAATGTAAAAACTAGTTAGAAGAGTCCCACTTTTTTACATTTTTATAAGTCTTTTTAATCTCTGGTTAAAAGACGTCATATCCCCTTCATCCTTCAATTTACTACAATATGTTGTATTGGCTAAAATACATGAAGAAAATCTGGCCTCAATCAGATACGTACAGTTGAGAAAGGGAGGAATATTTTAATAGTCCTTTCATCCTAATTTTCTTTGACAACACACCCAAATCTGGTAACTGGCTTTGTTTAAGCTGGTGTGTGTGTTTTTATTTATTCGAAAGGAATAGCAATAGATATAGCTAGAGAGGAAGAGATTTTCTTTTTTTTTTTTTAATTTATTTTTATTGAAAAGGCAGATATATAGAGAGAGGAGAAGAGGAAAGATCTTCCATCCAATGTTACCCTCGCCAAGTGACTGCAATGGCCAGTGCTGTGTCAATTTGAAGCCAGGAGCCAGGAGCTCTTCCAGATCTCCCACACAGGTGCAGGGTCCCAAGGCTTTGGGCCGTCCTCGACTGCTTTCCCATGCCACAAGCAGGGAGCAGGATAGAAAGCAGGGCTGCGGGATTAGAACCAGCACTCATAGGGGATAGGCATTTGTCTAGTAGTTAAAATATCCACATCCATCTCATGCTGGAGTACCTGGGTTTAATGTCCAACTCTGGCCCCTAGTTCCAGTTTCATGGAGAGGCAGGGAATGGGAGGTAGCATTGGTGGCTCCAGTGATTCAGTTTCTACAAACCATCTGGAAAATCTAGATTTTAACCCTCAACTACTATTTTCAGAAAATGGTAGGGATCTAGACAGTGAGCCAGAAGATGGGAACTTTCTCAGTATCTACTTCTGTCTTTTTGTGCCTCTATCTCTCAAATAAACACTTTAAAAATTCATTGTATTATGGACCCAGCACAATGGCTCAGTTGCTAAATCCTTGCTTTGCATGTGTCAGGATCTCATATGAGCTCCACTTCCCATCCAGCTCCCTGCTTGAGGCCTGGGAAAGCAGCAAAGGATGGCCCAAAGCCTTGGGACCCTGCATAAGCATGAAAGACGTGGAAGAACCACCTGGCTCCTAGCTTCAGATCAGTTCAACTATTGCCATTCTGCCATTTGGAGAATGAACCAGCAGCTGGAAGATCTTTCTTTCTGTCTTCTTTTCTTCATAAATCTGTTTTTCCAATAAAAATTTTAAAAATTAAAAAATAAATAAATCTTTTAAAAAAGATTTCACTATATTATCTTCAATTTTTATTAGATTATTCACCGATGATTACTTTGTGTTAATACATATTGGTCTACAAAAAATATAAACTCAGAATTATGCAGATCTTCCAATTACTGACATATTTCATTGTACAATATTAAAAATAATATTGGCTAACATTATGGTAATCAGAAAAAAATCATTAAATATTGAAAAGTTTCAAGCACATGGTAACACAAAAAATCTTCAAAATTCTGATTTTTGTTTGAAAGCTCAAATCCTATCACTGCCAACACACACTGTCAGTTGTTTTCTTTGAAGTAACAGACTCTCTTCATTCATTTTCATGGACATGCCTGCCAAATACTCAAGTCTGAATAACCATACTTTTTCTGTCAGTTATTCTTTCAAAAACAAAAATACTCCATATTTAAGAAACGGCTATTTCAACTGGCAAGTGCTTTCTCTCAACACAACCATCACGCTCAGTATACAGCAGCAGTGCTATATGGTGCTTCATCTTGACACACCACATTTAAAAGAGATGAACCAGGACGTTCAAATTTTACTAACATTGACCATTCATCATCCATTGTTAGAATTTTAAAAATACCCTCAAGGGACCTGGTATATTCCCTTTCTTTTGTGATAAGCTTGCAGCAGAAAGGATTACAATGACCACTGGTTTAGTGTGCATCCACTGCCTTTTGTTTAGTATCAGCAGTTTCATCTATTTCTGCTTTTGCACCATTACAAAGCTCAACAGGGTTAAAAGCGATGCTTACATTTAGAATTATTACAAAAAACATTGTGAACTCAGACCCTGCAAGGATCTCAGGAATGCCCTGACTAAACTTTAAGAAATAAAGTGCTAATGAACCATTCTAGAATGCTGAAAGGACAACAGGATCATTAGTGGTTCCACAATTTCAGGCAGAGCAAATTAGATCAGAAATGAAGACATGTAGAATCATTCAAAGGTCCATTTGCACAACAAGTTTGCTGTTACAAATGTGTATCTATTAGAAGAGAAAACTTAAGTCACCCAGCAACAATCAGTAAAAGTTTACATATTCTAGTTAAGAGTGTAACTAGAATTATTCCTAATTTATCAGAGACATGCTGCATAATACCAGCTCATGATTAACTGACTTCACAATCAAATTTACGAACTTATTTCTAAAAACTAAATCCAGCAGGTGTTTTAAGTGGGGGTGCAGCCACTGCTTGGGATGCCTGCATCCTGCAGGGGAATTCCTGGGTTTGGATCTCAACTCCACTTTCAATTCCAGCTTCTTGCTAATGCAGATCTGGGAGGCAGCAGGAGATGGCCCAACCAGGTAAGTGTCTGAGTTCTGGCTTCATCTTGGCCCTATCCCAGCTGTTTCAAGCAGTAAGAGTAAAGCAGCATTTCAGAAGACATCTACCTGTGTATGTATTTCTCATTCTCTGCCTTTCAAACAGAATCAAGAAAATCCTTGGAAAATGATAAATAAAAGAGGTATTCAACAATTTTTTTCTTCAGTGATAAGTTTTTCATGGTATCCAGTTAGTTTACTCTGCTAAATAATAAAGTAGTCATTTGATTTTATAATGCAACACAATCTTATCTTAATTCTGCAAGAATTACCATGAAATATATTTGGGCAAATATATTGTTGAATCTTCTCATTTTAACATTAAGGCCATAGAAAGATACTATGAGAGAAAATAAACACATGCTAAAAATCAATCCCCATTGACAATAAAAAACATCACCCTCCGATGAAATCAAGAAGCCTATCAAATTAGGAACCACTTAAAATAAAGCAGAACACTGATATCTTCAAAGTCATATTTAAAATCCAGTTATGCAGTAATATTTACAAGTAATCATAATATTACATGTGAAGGCATATGATTTAAATTTTGCAAAGTCAGAAAAAAGATGAACTTACTCGATCTGCCAACCCTCCTGGAACTATAGTCCTCACAACCACGCCACTTGATCTTCCTCCAACTATCCCAAAGCCTAGTCCAGAGCCGTCATTAACGAGTTCAACATCTTCAATATGGCCCCAAGAAACCTACAAATTAATGGAAAAAATCTTAATGTTATTAAAACACACCAATGTTTAGCTTTCTAAAGCAATAATTACTAAAGGAGCAGAGAGCTTCAGCAAATTTAACAGTCATACAATTAAGCAAGGCAAACTTCTAAAGAACCAGGTATACATATATAAATAATCAAATGATCCAGTAGAAATAAATTAAAACACAAGGCAAAATATCAGAATGACGCTTTTAGCTCTAAGAGGGTGAGCAGCAGGTCTCATTTCCCTGTCTAAGCAAAGTGGATAGAAGGAATCAAAAAATACTTACCTGCTTGAATTCAATGCTCACAAAATGTTATAAACATTTTATGAGGAAGTAAAAGACCCTAAATCAAACGAAAAAGCCTGGAAACTTTCAAGGAAAGGAAACGTTTAAGTTGCACCACAAAGACATTCAAGCAAGGCAAACATGAGAGTAAAGCCAACCCAGATAAGGGATTGGCTCAAAGGTATGGCCAATACTTTGTACTTAAGCAGGTAAGCAAGTGATTTAGCTATTTTAAATTTATAAAGAGAAAATACAGAAAGATCCTGTCTGCTGATTCACTGTCCAACCTGAGCTGATCCAAAGCCAGGAGCTAGAAGTCTTTCCCAGGTCTCCCATGCAGGTGCAGGAGTTGTAGGGCCCGACGCCTTGGCCTAGCAGCTAAAGTCCTCCCCTTGCAAGTGCCAGGATCCCATATAAGCAACAGTTCTAATCCTGGCGATCCTGCTTCCCATCCAGCTCCCTGCTTGCGGCCTGGGAAAGTAGTCGAGGATGGACCAAAGTCTTCGGATCCTGCACCCGCATGGGAAACCCAGAAGTAGTTCCTAGCTTCAGATCAGTGCAGTTCTGGCCATTACAACCACTTGGAGCATGAATCTTCGGACAAAAGTTCTTCCTCTCTGTCTCTCCTCCTCTCTGTATATCTGGCTTTTCAATAATAATAATAAATAAATCTTAAAAACAAAAACAAAAACAAAAAAGGAACGGATCTGTAAAGGAAATGGAGCAGCCGGGACACAAACCAGCACCCACATGGGATCCTGGTATATGAAAGGTGAGGATCCAGGCACTGGGCCACCGTGATGGGCCCTAAAGCAGTGGTTTAAGAAAATTCATCTAGTAGTCATATCAAAAACGAACTGGCAAGAAAAACAATAGGTAAAGAATAATTTAGGAAACTCTTATGAATAAGAGAACAGGTGACCCAACTTTAGTACAAAGTTATACTAAAGGTTAGAACAAGATTAAATATAATCTTGTAATCTTATATTTATAATCTTACAAATATAAGACTAAGTATAGTTTTTCAACAAATAGCCAACAGTAAATGTATGAATCAAATCCACAACAGCCAACTGCCGAACAGTATCTACTTAGTCAAGTTCATTAAAGCATACTTTTGACTTAATTTTTATTATACTGAATTATAAATTTTCTATGTGATGATAAAATAAACAAATTCATGTTTGGAAGAATCGCAGTATCTGGGAAACAATGTTGCCCAAAATAAAATGTCTGAATTGATGAGAACAGCTACTATTCACAAAACGTTGCTTGGCATCTGGCACTGTTGAGCTCCTGACACCACCTGGGAGAATTAGAATCACTAACAGTCCCAACGAACAGACACAAAGAAGCTGAGGGGTGGTGATGTTAAAAAAAAAAAACCTACATGCCCATGTGACTCGGCCAGGAAGTAGAATACAAGACCTTGAACTGACCAAGCCTAACTCATGTCTTTTTTACATGCCACACATTGTCTCACTTTAGTCACTGCATTTACTATGTATGTGTGCTATGTAAATATTATTGATTATAACAAGGAAAATACCTATACATTATTATGTGTTGTGAGCTTGTGCTGTACTTGGTGTACTTTTTCTTTCAGCCTCAATAAATGAGTTAAATAAATCAGCTAACAGTGTTATAAGAAAACAATATTGATTAGCTTTCAAAATCTATAACACATCACAAAGCAAGTTTTGGGCCTGGCCCAACACATAAGAGGCTAAAGTCCTCGCCTGGCATCCACTGGGATCCCATAAGGCTGTTGGTTCTAATCCTGGCAGTCCCACTTCGCATCCAGCTCCCTGCTTGTGGCCTGGGAAGGCAGTTGAGGATTGCCCAAAACCTGGGGACCCTGCATCCACATGGAAGACATGGAAGAACCTCCTGGCTCCTGGCTTCAGATAGGCTCAGTCCCAACCACTGCAGTCAGGTGGGGAGTAAATCAGCAGATGGAAGACTTTTCCTCTGTCTCTCCTCTCTGTAAATCTGACTTTCCAATAAAAATAAGTCTTTAAAAACAAACAAAAAACAGTTTAAGGATTTCCAAGAGATACATACTTCTTTTATACTGTTCAGTATATATCCTTTCATGAAGAAAACCTGCAATAATTCTGTACAGTTAATAAATAAACCTCCATTGTAGCTTGTCAAAATGTCTTTGAAATACACAACCAAATTAAATTAAATTCATTAATTGGCTATATCAACAAGGAACATGGGATTCTTTCTATCACCAAATAAACAATACTTAATATTTTGCCTTTATGTTAAATAATAATCATACTAAGGAGAAACTAATGCGATTTATTTAAAAAGAAAAAAGAGGAATCAATAGGTTAAGCTGCCTATTTAAACTATTTAATTTGAAGACATGATCATCTTGAGCTACGAGAGTAAAATGGCACCTACTAAAGTCCTTATACTTCTTACAATCAAGTAAGCATTTTTCCAAATTTGCTACTCACGGTTTCAGGCAGGGTAGTGTCTGTCAAACTAGAAGTGCTGTTTCTTGGGTGGAATGGCTCCCTGGCCACAACCAATCGCAAAGATCCAGCAGTCTGCTGTAATAATGCAATTGCTTGCTGGTGGGAAATGTTCTGATCCAGGGGTATGTGATTGATGGCCAATATCTGATCATTTTCCTTTAATCTTTGATCTCTTAATCATACAAGAGAAGAAACGTTTAAACAATATGGCAGCTTAATCTTTTTCAAAAAGCTGTTATTTAAGTTAAGCATTACTAATCTACTGGTATATTTATTCAAATAATTATTTAATTATGCAATACCACAGAGCTCTTCAGAGTACTTTCATCAAAGCATTTCTTAACTAACCAATTAGGTGGTAGACTCTTAAACATACACATAAACACACACACACATTTTAAAACCATCTAGCCAGAAAAAACAAAAACAAGTCATGGGGTCCCACTCTCACAGATTCGCAGAGCCAAACAATGCCCATCACTGAGTAACCTGTGTACTTGAATGTGCCTTCCACCAGTATCATCCTGGAGTAACAACACACTCAGCTTTGCTAACAACCTCCTCTCCAGCAGCTTCACCCCATCTCCACTGCCCTTCCCTTCCCCAGTGATCTTCAATAAAGGCCAAGCTCATCCTGGAAATTCCAGGCAGATGTCTTCTAAACCAACATCTGAGTCCTTTTCTCTCTCTCAAGTACCAACTCTCCCAACTGCTTCTTTAGAAAGGTGAAAATGTTGACTTTCAAAAGAAAGCCACAAAATCCATACACAAAAAAAAAAGTACTCAGTTAACTTACTGAGCACTTAGCATAAATCTGGATTTGTGTGAGGTGCTTTATATGCATTATCTAACCTTCATAACCACCTTTTAAAGTACTATATTTGGCAAAGTTTTACATACAACAGACTGAAGCTAGGCAGACATGGCATCTTGTCTGGAGCCTGACTCCTTAAGTAACTATGTAAAAGCACCTTCTAACGGCAGCCTAGGATGTGCTTGCCCCAGCTTTACTCTATTGGACTTTACTACGTCACTTTACCACCTCCCTGTTCATTCATTTTCACCATAACTCTGCTTTAGCCTCATCTCCATTGCATCTACTCATTTCCTCCTTTCCATTTCAGTGCCAACCCCTGCACCTGGAGCAGCCTTATCTAATATCAAAATCTAATTTACAAAAATCACTCAAGAGTTATTTTTCTAGGCTCTCTTCATCCTGGGATTTCCCAGCTCAAAAATATGAAATGATTACCTATCATTATTGATCAATAAAGAGAGACCCAAAAGAAAGAAAATAAATTTCTCTCATGGTTGTTTATTAGACAACATTTTCAACCTTAAGATACAGGAAGGAGAGCTAGTTGTAGCACAGTACATTGAGCACCAACTGAGATGCGCAACCCACACAACAGGTAGTCCTAGTTTCAGGCACTGGACTTCTGATCCTGCTCCTGCTCCTGGCCAAGTGGCACGTGATAGCTACCCAAGTACTTAGACACTACCACCCTCAGATGAGACCAGGAAGGAGTTCTGGGCGCCTAGCATTGGCCAGGCCTAGCTCCAAAACTTGTGGCCATTTGGGGAGCAAACCCAAGAATGGAAGATCTCTCTCTCTCTCTTTCCTGCCTCTCTGAGACTCTGCCTTTAAAATAAAGGGTTCTCTTTCTAAAAAAAAAAAAAAAAATCAGAACAGAGCATAATCCTCTTCATAAACAAAATGTGCAATAATGAAAAGTTCATTATAATGTGCCTACTTTTCTCAGTTCATATCTGATCAGCAAAACTTTGACCACAGACCAGAATACATTAATTATCAATTTCCAGGAACCCAAGGAAAAGGGCTTTGAGCAAAGAGGAATGGTTCATAGTCACGGGCCTCTACATTCCACCCAAAGCATTCCTCTAACCAGGATTCCTCTTTGCGCAAATCTCTACTCCAGCTTCTCTGATGCTCTGTGAACATGTCTGGCATATCCTGCTCTGGTATACACTGTTTCCTCCACTTACGATACCTTCTCACTCTGTTCACCCAAATGAAGCCATCCTTCACTATCCCGCAGTGCCTCACAGTCTCCATCACTTCCTCTGTTCCACAGTGCCCTGAAGCACTCATCCATCACTTAGTGAACACTCATGCCTATTAAACACAGTTCCACAGAGCTGCAAATAACTAACCTCTTAGATTTCGACTCTTTTAAGGACAGGGATTTGGGTGTTTTAGAATCTCCCTGGAACTACCAAATTGAACGTTTTAATTTTTGAAGCCTAAATTATGGGTAGCTCTGACAATAGAATATCTATATATTTCATTTAAAATGTTGTTTAAAATTATTTTAAAATATTAGAAAGGGCTACTATATTAAGAAATGAGAATTAGATACAGAACATTACTTTATTGAAAAAAAAACTTTCTAAGGTATCTCCTAGTTGTATTCAGTATTTTGTTTGTTAGATGTTTCTGTATTGTATAACTTCCCATTCTATGTTTAACTAATTTGCAATAGTTTAAAAAAAATTTTTTAAGCACGAGCGGCCATTACTGTCAAGTCCAACCACATGGCCACCTGGAAAGAGCACAAACCGAGAGTGAGAGTGACCCGGGAGGGAAATAGTGGGCTACCCATTCTTGGGTCAACATTTCCATGGGAAGGCACAATAACAACTAGGACAGGGGCTGGGATGGCTAGACAGAGAGGCACTCAACAACATCCATGAGGGCTGGACAGTTGGGCTGGTCGGATGGAGCTAAGCTCCAATACCCCTCGACATTTACAAGAGCCCAATGGGATATGGGGCAGACTAAACTAGGCTGCTACACATGCTGGCAAATCAGGGCAGGGGTGGGCCAGGTAGGGGTAATTGGGGATCGCTCCCACTAGGCTGCACCTCCCAGTGGTTGGTGTGATGGCTGAGTAAGGGACGAGCAGAACCAGGATGGACTACAACACCCTTTGATTCCAGTGGAAGTCGAGGCTCAAGATGGAACCTACCCAACAATTGCAACCACCAGCTGAATGGGACCAGAGAAGGTCTCCCCAAGAAGCCGTTAAACTTGTCCGGACTATAAGATGCTGGACTCTATGCTTGACATATGCTTGCAATGAAAAATCTCAACTGAACTTGAACTGTGGTTACACAACAAGGTGGAGGAATCCACCATGGGGGGAAGGTTAGGGGAGGGTTGTGGGGAATCCCAATACCTATAAAACAGTGTCACATAATGCAATGTAATTAATAATAATTAAGAAAAGAAAAAAAAATTTAATTAAGAATTCTTCTTGTGAAACTTCTTTCAATCATAAACATTCTAAATGTAATACTTCAGCACAATATCCAGGAATCTTCTCTATTTTGTCATCTTCAATGTCTTCCTTTTTATAAATTCCTAACATAAATTATTATACATACTGTCCATTCAGAACAGTTTTTATATATTTCTAGATTAATTCATGGCTCCTTATTCTCTTTTAAAACATATTTTTTGAGGAATGGAGCCATAACATATGGGCTAATCCTCCACCTTGGTGCCAGCATCATATATGGGTTTGGTACTCTCCAACAAATGCTGCTGGGGAAACTGGATATCAGCCTGAGAAGTAAGGAGCAAGACCCCCACTTGTCACCTTACACAAAAATCAGCTCTAAATGGATCAAGGACCTAAATCTGCACCTTGAAATCATCAGACTATCACAGGAACACATAGGAAGCTCTTGACAAGACCCAGGAGTTGGTAAAGATTTCTTAGAAAAGTCAGCCAAAAGGATTTCTTCATCCCTGGAGCGGTAATATCACGGCACCTCAGAACTATCAAAACCACTTTATCAGAACCCTCAGAAAATGCTGCACAGGGACCCTGGGGTGACATCAGGTGGCTGTGCCTCATCCCCAGGCACAGGGACCGATGGGAGGCAGGCAGTGGTTTCCTCCCCTGTGTCCCTCCTCCCCCAGATACAGGAAGAAGAAAAAGAAAAGGTGTCAACAACGCTTTCGCCCACTTTCCCATGACCCTTGACCCCTCCCACCCTGATCAATCGTGTAAACATCACCAAAAATAAAATTTTTAAAGAAATCAAGTCAAAGCCAAAATAAACACATGGGACTACACCAAACTAAGAAGCTTCTATACAGCAAAGTAAATGATAAACTTGGTGAAGAGGCAATCAGAAGAATGGGAGAAAATGCTTGTATACCACACAACAGATAGGGGACTAGTAACCAGGATATATAAAGAACTTCGGAAACTCAACAACAAAACCAACAACCTTGTTAAGAAATAGGCAAAAGGGGGCCCAGTGTGGTGGCCTAGTGGCTAAAGTCCTCGCCTTGCACGCACCAGGATCTCATATGGGTGCCAGTTCTAATCCTGGCAGTGCAGCTCCCCATCCAGCTCCCTGCTTGTGGCCTGGAAAAGCAGTCGAGGACGGCCCAAGGCTTTGGGACCGTGCACCTGTGTGGGGGACCAGGAGGAAGTTTCTGGTTCCCACCTTCGGATCAGCATAGCACTGGCCGTTGTAGTCGCTTGATGAGTGAATCATCAGACAGAAGATTTTACTCTCTGCCTCTACTCCTCTCTTTACATCTGACTTTGTAATAAAAAATAAATAAACCTTAAAAAAAAATTTAATGATGTTTCACCTAACTCCAGTAAGAATAACATAGATTCAAAAATCTACTGACACCACTTACTAGCATGGATGTAGGAGGAAAAAAAGATACCCTGTTGCACTGTTAGAGGGAGTATAGGCTAATGTGGTCACCATGGAAGTCAGTATGGAGAGTGTTCAGATAACTGAAAACTGATGTACCGCTTGATCCAGCTATCCCATTCCGAGGAATATGTCCAACGGAAGTAAAATGACATATGAGAAAGTAACAAACACCCTTATATTTATAGCAGCACATTACACAATAGCAAAGACATGGAAACAACCCAGATGCCCATGAAAAGAGGAATGAATGAAGAACTGCAGTATGAAATACTCCATAAAATACTATACAGCCATTGAAAAGAAAATTCTCCCATCTGCAATAAAATGCTCCCAATTAGAGATCCATTATGCTCAGAGAAAAAAGGCAGTCTCAAAAGGACAAATACCATATGTTCTGTGACATAAAGCAACATCCATACAAACACAAAACAAATAGATATTTAGGTGAACAAGTATATTCATACTTTCTCACAGATGAACTGCATAATGGAGACTAACAGGAACTGAAAATACACTGCAGCAAGCAACTCTATTCTCAGATAAAAGGAGGATCCCCAGTGACACTGGAAGTGACGGTGTAATACTAGATTCTCTGCCTGTTTATATCTACACTGACATGATACCCTTGAGCACCAGAATGTTAAATTGGGAGGGTGGGAATTATGAAAAGGGGAAAAGTAGGGATAGAAAAGGGAGGGAGAACGGGAGAATCCCTGTATCTACAAAACTCTATCAAGACTGTACATGCTGGCAGGAACACGAACCAGAGCTGGAGGCTGGCACAGGGGGGACTGGGGTCGCTCTGAATGGGTTTCAGCTCCCCAAGGTGTACATGAGGGTTCAAGTGTGTAGTGGGCAGGGCTGGGTTGGGCCGGAGCACTTGTTGGTTTACAGAGAAAGGCGGGCAGAACAAACTGATCTACTATTCCAGTGAAACTTGACAGCAAACTTCCGGGCAAACAGACACTCTTTAGTGGACTGTCAGCCAATTCACTTTGGAAGTATTTCCTCATCTGTGGAGCACTGATATCAACAACATCTCAGAACTATTGAAACCACTTCAGTAGAACCCCCAGAACATGCTCCGCACCAGGGACCCTGGCATGACAGTGGAGGATGGACAAATTGGGACCCTACACCTGTGTGGGAGACCCAGACGAGGCTCCTGGCTTCAGATAGGCACAGCTCTGGCCATTGCGGTCACTTGGAGAGTCATCAGATTGAAGATCTTCCTCTCTATCTCTCCTCTCTGTATATCTCACTTCGCAATAAAAAACAAATCTTCAAAATAGAAAAGTCTGTAATGATTCCTAACTAGCTCAAGTGCTGCCCCAAGGGTATACAAAAACACACAAATGCATGAGAACAGCTAAAGCGCGTGTCCATGCCTTTATTACTGTTTTTCTTTGTAATTTAGAATTCTCTTCTTAGTGTTTTCAGATTTGTCAGAAAGGTATTAGAAAAATGGGTATGCTCCTCACCTGTCCGCTATACTCCCCGGCTGCACTTCCTTCACAAAGATATCCACTTGTCTCATGTTGTGACTTCTAAGTGCCACCACACTGAATCCAAGGCCTCCAGTGGAAGGCCGCTCTATATCAATATATTCGATCTGCCGGCCCTGATGAAGGGAAATGCAAAAGCAAAGTCAATGATGTGCAGTTAACCAACATACACTTTTCAAACCGCTTGATACAAAGACATTTTCTCCTAATTCATCTCTACAGAACCAAATAAATGGCATTTCAGCAACAGGTTATTTCTGGCAAGTCTCTCCCTTGATTATCTGAACCAGAACACAAGAAGGATTATAGTATGCTCTGCAACCTCAAGGAAATGGGGAGGTATTTTCACACGCCATTCCCATTCTAAGAGGAATCCCAGGTTAGAAGAAATCTGTGAGAAAATCGTCCTTTCTCACAATAAACTCTAAATTACTTTTTGCGTTGGATTTCCCTAACTTCTTGTGATACAAAACACATGTTTAAATTAAGAAAGTAATAAGGCATATGAGAAACATGCTAATATTTAGGCAAAGTCAGAGCCACATGCCTTATATTTTTTAGGGCTGTTAATTCTATCGTGACAAATTAATAACCCAATTCGCTAGTCAAATCAATAGACAATGGAAAGGTCAACATTCACATAGGTTCTACCTTTTAGTTATATATTTCATTACATGAGAATTGCATTCATAATATCAGAACTTTACAAATGCAATCAACTAACAAGTGTACCACGTAAAAGTAATTAGCAGTCATATGAACAAGATGCAACAAAACAACAACAAAACATGAGTCCAGAATACCACTTAATTATCACACATTTAACAGATTCTTCTTAACCTTCAAATTAAACTTTGATTTTTTTAAAGGTACCTCTTACATCATAAGGTGAAAAAACACAAAACTGACATACCCAAAAATCAATTATTACATAACTTTTAATAGGTATTAGGCACTACAACTGGATTACCCTAAAATATTTCCCTGGATTTTCCAAATTAGTTCATTAATTCTGCTACAACATAGAACTGAAAACAATTTCAATTCGTGTTTAATCATTTCTCACACAAATATTAATTTTCCTCCATGATGAAAGCCAGTAAGAACCTCTTTCCATGGGCCTGGCGACATGGCCTAGTGGCTCAAGTCCTCGCCTTGAACACGGTAGGGTTCCATACGGGCACTGGTTCTAGTCTGGCAGCTCCACTTCCCATCCAGCTCCCTGCTTGTGGCCTGGGAAAGCAGTCGAGGACAGCCCAAAGCCTTGGAACCCTGCACCCGCGTGGGAGACCCAGAAGTTCCTGGATCCTGGCTTTGGATCGGCATAGCATTGGCCGTTGCGCTCACTTGGAGAGTGAATCATCAGACAGAAGATCTTCCTCTGTCTCTCCTCCTCTCTGTATATCTGACTTTCCAATAAATAAATAAATCTTTAAAAAAAAAAAAAAAAGAACCTCTTTCCATACAAGAACTGAAACACACCCGGTTGGGCTCACTGTCTGAAACTTCTCATCCTCACACAAATGCATGCTCTCCTTCTGCAACTTTAAGTCAAACAACTTCCAGTACATGGTTTCCCAAATGGGTTAGCTCCTTCCAGCAACATCAAAACACAAGCAAAGTATCAGTAACATATCTTAAGGCAAAAAAGTGAGTTTTAGTGCCCTTTTCAAAATGAAAGTAAAGCTAAATAGTACAACAAAGTATAACCTTACCTGAGCCATCTGTTGAATGATCGAGTTAAATTCTTCATTTCCCAAATTTGGACTCCAAGGAAATATTCCAGAAACAGTCAAGTTATTAGGGGCCCTATGAGCACTCCCATTAGCAATGGAGCCATCTGTAAACACTAACAAGCCTTTCCTTGAAAAATCGAAATTGGCTGAACAATCCGAGGGTATATGGCTGAGCTATTGACAAGAAACATTGAAGAGAATCAGCAACAGAAACCTACTACAAAGTCTTTTTAATATTTATTAAATATTATTTTTTAACATTTGCTATTTAAATATTTATTTAATATTTATTATTTAAATATTTATTTAATATTTATTTAAAATATTGTCTCGCACATAATTTGTATGAAAAATACATACACATGCATAAATATATCAATCTCAAGGTATATAGAAGTCTAGGATTTTTAAAAACTCAATATTACACAGAATGCCTAACAGTTTTAACTTTGTTCTTGCTTTCTGCTGTCTAGTACTGTGAATAGCAGGAACGTTAACATTTCATTACACTTCATATGCACAGATACATCTACTCATCTAAATATTTATGACACTAAGTTATTCTGTATTTATCTGTACACTTCCATGTGGCAAGCCACAAACAGTAAAATATAAAAGGTATTTATTGAGTGCTTGCTAAGAACCAAGTACTGAACAGGACTCTTCAGACCATTATCTCATTTAATCCTCTTAATAGTGCTTTGAAATACCATTATTCCATTTTGTGAATGTGAAACATGAGGCACACAGAGATTAAGCAATTTTCCAAATATTGCTGGTGAGTCACAGAGCCGCTTAAGCACTGTTGAAAAGGAGATTCCTATAATTGCAGGCAGCAGGATTTTCAAAATATCAGATAAAACTGCTAACAAATAAGGGCAAAGGAACAAACATAACCTTAAGAACAGAAATCAACAGGACTTCATTGAAAAGAAGCAAGAGTCCTTAAATGCAGAAGTTTCACATTTCAATAGATAAAATATGTCCAGTCATGTAACTATACAAACATAATGCGCTGTCATGTGGAAGTTAATTCATAGTCCATAAGAGATTTGCACTGATCTTCCCCTAAACTCATATGGACACAGCAGGAAAAAAAAAAATTTGTCCCACCCACCATCCTTAGTACCTGACCCACCTCACCCTAATCAGAGGCACAAAGGGCACGCATCTCTCTCAACTATATAAACAATATTAAAATGAAAATGTTTAAAATATTTCTTAAAAATCTACAGCCCAGCGCTGTGGCCTAACAGCTAAAGTCCTTGCCGTCAACGGGCCGGAATCCCATACGGGCACGAGTTCTAGTCCCAGCAGATAATCGTCTTGCTAAAGACTTCACCAAGAAAATACCTTCAAATTAAGCACTACGTAATTATGAAGATGTTGAGAATTCTCAAGGCCTCTGGCCACTACACATTCAACTGTATACAAAAACTATATTTCAAATTCAAATGCAAAGTTCATGCTCAACAATTTTCAACTAGCCCTACCAACGCTACCAATGGGTCATATGCATCTCTGCTGTACTGAGCATGTAGACACAGCCTGTCTCCTGCAAGGGCCTTCCCTTGCTGCTTGACTCCATCAGCATAAACCCTGTTAGGTGACTTACCTGTCCCTTCAGCTGCTTGATGGACTGCTGAAGGGTGAGGATCTGGTTGAAGAGAGGACTCCTCAGTGTCTCACAAAACATAGATAACTTCTCATTCTGAGACGTGTCACCCTTCTCCTGCAATTTTGCCTTCAGTCGCTCGAGCACCTGCAGGACCTGCAGTTTATCTTGAAGAAGGATAACCAGTGTACAAATTAAATACCATGTTTTCATTCCATTTGTGAATAATTAAATAATAAAATTGTGTTTCTGGTTTACCTGTAGCAGGATTTTCAGGCATTTTGAATTCTACCCTGCAATCACTTGTAAATCACCTACAGAACATTTTAAAAAACACACAAAAGAGATTTTCCATTAGTAATAGGTATCTACAGTTGATACTTAAACACAATCTCAAGAATATTCTTCAAAAAACTACTATACTCAGTGAAATTTAAATTAAAAATTTGAAAATCCCAGGGCCAAGTGCCATGGCGTAGTAGGCTAAACCTCTGCCTGTAATCCCAGCAACCTATATGGGTGCTGGTTCGTGTTTTGGATGCTCCAATTCTGATCCACTTTCCTGTGAATGGCCTGAGAAAGCAGTGGAGGAAGGCTAAAGTCCTTGGGACCTTGCCCGCCTGGGAAACCTGGAGGAAGCTCCTGGCTCCTGGTTTGAGACCAACTCAGTTACAGTCACTGTGGCCATTGGCCATTAGGGGAAAGAACCACCAGCTGAAGATTTCTGTATATCTCTGTAAATTAGTCTTTCAAAAAAAAAATGAATAAATCTGGGCCCGGCGCCGTGGCCTAGCGGCTAAAGTCCTCACCTTGAACACACTGGGATCCCATATGAATGCTGGTTTTAATCCCGGCAACCCCACTTCCCATCCAGCTCCCTACCTGTGGCCTGGGAAGGCAGTCAGGGATGGCCCAAGGCTTTGGCACCCTGCACCCGTGTGGGAAACCTGGAGGAAGTTCCTGGTTCCGGCTTCAGATCAGCGCAGCACCAGCTGTTGTGGCTGCTTGTGGAGTGTGGCTGCTTGTGGAGTGAATCATCGGACAGAAAATCTTCCTCTCTGTTTCTCTTCCTCTCCGTATATCTGACTTTGTAATAAAAAAATAAATAAATCTTTTTTAAAAATGAATAAATCTTTTTAAAAAATGATACTGTTGATGAGACTATGAAGAAACAAGAGCTACCACATATTACTAACATGAGTATAAACCAGCACAATCACTTTAGAAAACTCTTTGGCAGTTTCTCACAAAGTTACAAATAATTTATTGATAGCCTTATACTTTCATTAATAAATATTACCAAGAAAGATTAACATATATCCACAAGAAGACCTATGCACAAAAGTTCATAGCATTTTTATTTGTAAATGTCCAAGAAATACATTCAATGTACAAATAATGAATAAATGTATAAAATTGTATGTTAATATAAGGGAATCTTCAAAAGTTTCATGGACAAGAAATATAAATTAAAACCACTCATAGATTTCATGTTTTTGTACTTTTTTTGTTGTTGCTGTTGACAAGTCAGATATACAGAGAGGAGGAGAGACAAAGAGGAACATCTTCCATCCGCTGGTTCAGTACCCAAGTGACCACAGGGGCTGGAACTAAGCCAATTGGAAGTCAAGAAACAGGAGCCCAGAGCTTCTGCTGGGTCTCCCAAGTGGTTGCAGGATCCCAAGGCTTTGGGCCGTCCTCAACTGCTTTTCCATGCCACAAGCAGGGAGCTAGATAGGAAGCAGGGCCACGGGGATTAGAACCAGTATCCATACGGGATCTAGGTGTGTGCAAGGCGAGGATTTAGGCCATTAGGCTACTGCACTGGGCCCAGATTTCATGTTTTTGTACCCAAAAAAATTCCTACACTACCTTGTCATAACACATAGGAACAGGATCTAATTTGAGACTCAAAGAAGGATAAGATATGTCAGAAAACAATCACCCCATCAAAGTAACATGATTTCTGCTAAAATTAAAGAACAAACATCAAATTAATGATGAAATTACTAATGCCTTATGAATCATTCATAGCAAAATGCTCCAAACAAATCAGCTGTTTACCATTTTTTAAAAGGCACAAAATGATGCAGAAAACGAAGACTACATATCATTTTACAGTGAAAAAGATCAAGCTGGTTCATGACTTAAGAAAACATGCTAAAAGTAGCAGAAATAACAGACATAGACATCATGGTAGCTGCCATTGGTTTCGTTTACACAATTCCGCTGAAAATTACAATGCAGCAAATTTTGCAGTTCGTTAGTGTCAAAACTGCCTGGGCCAGATCACTTGCAGACACCAGCAGAGCCTTTGATGGAAATCTGGAACAAGGAGCTTGCATGATCGCTCAACTGGCCAACCCTCCATGTGACAACACCACTGTCCTATATGGCCACAGATTTGTGTCCCATTTTCTCCGTTTCCCACCCAGCTCCCTGCTTGTGCCCTAGGAAAGCAATAGAGGATCACCCAAAGCCTTGGGCCCCTGCCTCCACTTGGGAAACTCAGAAGAAGCTCCTGGTTTTGGATTAGCTCAGTTCCAGCTGTTATGGCCATTTGGGGATTGAACCAGCAGATAGAGGATCTTTCTGTCTTTTCAATAAAAATAAACCTTTCATAAAAAATAGTCACAGTACCAATATTTTGGAACACTCAAGGAATTTACATCTGCTTACTCTCTGGAAGGCCGAGAGCATATGATATCTGTTTATTATGACAGTGGTTTGAGAAAGTGAACGGAAACTTCAGCAGGAACACTTGGCTGCGAGAGTGCATTGCCACAGCACTCCTGCTCACGCCTCTCTTTAGCTAAGAGAAAATTCATACAAATGTCAAGGAACATCACCAGGCATCCACCTTACAGTCATGGACCGAAGCCTTCTGATTTCTTTCTGTTTCAAGGGCACTAATTTTTATTCAGCTAACATTGTCAAACACACACACACAAAACGACCTGTACATATGACTAAATTTCCAGGGATGGACTAAATATTTAGCATCAACATTTAATTTCAAAGTTGATAGACAATTGTTCAAACAACAAAATTTTTATTTTTAATCTGCAAATTCCAAAACTCCATGAAAATTTTGAAGTATCCCATATGGCTCTCAGAAACAAAAATTAAAAAGGTCACAGAAATGGGCCCGGCAGCGTGGCCTAGAGGCTAAATTCCTCGCCTTGTATGCCCCGCGATCCCATATGGGCCAGTTCTAATCCCAGAAGCTCCACTTCCCATCCAGCTCCCTGCTTGGAGCCTGAGAAAGCAGTTGAGGAAGGCCCAAAGCTTTGGGACCCTGCACGCGCGTGGGAGACCTGGAAGAAGTTCCTGGATCCTGGCTTCGGACCGGCATAGCATCGGCCGGCATAGCATCGGCCGTTGTGCTCACTTGGGGAGTGAATCATCGGATGGAAGATCTTCTCTCTGTCTCTCCTCCTCTCTGTATATCTGACTTTCCAATAAATAAATAAATCTTTAAAAAAAAAAAAAAAGGACAGCTGCCTCCTGGCAGCTGGTGGGTCTCAGGACGGGGCGTCTCATGCCTGGATTCCGGACGGCCGCCATGGGCACATGGTGAGCCGTCCTCCCCGGGCCTGCTGGGTTTCGGGGGCCGCTTCCTTCGGGGTGAGTAGACCGAGGGGGGGAGGCCTCCGGGACTGGGCAGGTCCGGCACCCAGCCACCGCCCTCATTGGGCGGTGAAGGGGATTTGGGAGGGGCGCGACCTTGGGCCTGGGAATTTTAAACCTCCAGCTGCCTCCTGGCAGCTGGTGGGTCTCAGGACGGGGCGTCTCATGCCTGGATTCCGGACGGCCGCCATGGGCACATGGTGAGCCGTCCTCCCCGGGCGGCCAGTGCGCCATTGGTGCCAGGCTCCGCCTGCTGGCCGCCCGGCTGGGGAGCTCTGGGGATTTGGTTCTTTGAGTTGCTGCTTAATTAGCTCCAGGTTGAACCCATTGTGCTTCTTGGACCTGAAAGAGGCAGTAACTCTTCCTTAGCAAAACTTGTAATCACTAATAATTCTGAGCACCAAATACCAGTCATGCAGAAGCTATGGCTTGGGGCTTGCCCTGCACAAGTAGCTCCAACAGTTGGCCAATGTGTCAACTGGTAATGGAACAGAGTAGATTAGGCACGACTGAGCAAACCTTAGCCCACAAGTAAAACTAGAAACCAGGAGGGAGCAGAGGTCATGCCGAGCTAGGCTCTTGTACCTGCTGGTCTGTGGGAGCCTGGGACGCTGAGTCACAGTGTCTAAGGCAGAGTTCGGGACAGGGGAGGGGTTATGCCAAGCTGAGTCAGAGCATCCATTGGCAGGCATGTGATCTATGCCTGGGAACGGACCCGGTTGGGGAGCAAAGGGGACAACCCTAGCTGGGCTGAGGTTCCCACCAAGAGGCGCGTGGCCTGGAAGGGGGCTGCGTTCTGATCTGGAAACAGTTGTAGTCTCCCTTGGCACAAGTGTGGACTGGGATTGGATGCACCGAACTGGGCCGGACCCCGACTCCCCCTGGTGTTCTGGAGGACCAGGGCAGATGTGGGATGGACTAGGCAGGGTCTCAAACCCCTACTGAGCCATGTGTGAGCCATACGTGGGTATGGACAAACCATGGCTGGGCTGGAACATCCAACAGCAAGCACCAGATTGGGTTGAAGGCCAGTCAGGAAAAGCCACAGTTCCTGCTATGACAGGAGGTGGACTGAGTAGGGTTGGCTCATGGACCCACTGGTAAGCGTGAAACCTGGCATTGGGAGAGGTTCTGATGGAGGAGCCTGGGCAACTCCTCTGGCAGGACACAGACCCAGCAGGTAAACGCAAGAAACATGATAGGAAACAGCCCAGAAAAGGCCATGGAAACCTACCCACTGGCATACAGTTGGCAGACGTGGGGGCAAGACCAGGCTGAATCTGTCCACATCATCCACTGGCAAATCCAGGCACCAGTGTGGGTCGACCCAGGGTCGGTCGCAACAAAGACTAGTGCACATTATGGAATGCCGAGGTGAGGTTGCCTGTACCAGAAGGGACCGCAGCGCCCAACCAGCCTGAGAACAAGAAAGGAAGTGGGCAGAGCTGGCAGGGGAATAAGGGAGGGTTCCTTTGCTGGACAGCTACTTCCGCAGGAGAGCATGGGCTGGGATGGGGGCAGACCAGACTAGGCAGAGCTACCACACCTGTGCGCCTCATGTGGACTAGATCAGGGAAAAGCCAGGCTGGGCGGATTATTCCTACTGGTGCAAACAAAATTAAAGTGGGCGAGGTTTGTTTGGGCAGCATCAACTGGAATCTGGGAGTGGGAGAGGCCTGGGAGG